GTGTTTCCTGCTATCACCTCAAGTGTTTCTGAAGATCCTGCTGTTGTTCTGTTTACTGTCACATTTGTCTGGGTTTTATACTTTGATATATTTGATATATATTGTCAACAATAGACAGCTGCTATTGTTTTTTGTTTGTTTTTGGTTTTGTCTTGTTTTGTCGTTGTTGTTGACATGTCAGTGAGACAGTTCAAGCTTCGAAAGAAACAAGATGCTAATCAACACTTGAGTCAAATCTAAAATCTAAAATACCCCTAAACTTCGCTCCAAAACGCAGACACACAACCTTGGGTGTTGTTTGTTTGCCTTTTCCTAACATCCAGTTTCCAAACCCCACCATTTATTATTAATTTAGCACTCGTTAGCAAGTCTTAAAATATTTCATCTAAGTGATTAGCTTTTTTTAATGGGCTCCATCACATGCCGTGCACTTCCTGTAACATGCATTAAAATCTGGAGGTGCTCTCTTCTCTCTATCTGGTTCAATAGTGTTACATTAAAGCCTCTGCCATCTTTTTTCCGCTGGCAGAGTTTTAAAAGCTGTAAAGCCATCAGTACCTGAGCAAGTCACTTACTGCTATCACTTTAATGCACATATATTATGATAATCTTGTTCCCTGCTTATTGCTGCCTTAATAATGGAACACTTCATTGATCCCTGAAGGAAAATCCTCTTTATGCCTCCACGTTCATGCTGAGGCTAGAGTGCAGTAACCTGTGACTGTGGGTGATGGATCCACTCAGGGATCTTTGAGCAGGGCAGATGCTTGCTGACGTTTGTGTTTGCACCCAGTTTTTGGTTCAGTGTTTGACTAAAGCTCTGGATAAATACATTTCTGCAGCGGAGGTATCGGTATGGAGGCGTAATGGAGTTACAAGGAAAACGAGTTTGATGTAAAGTGAATAATTGTTTTAAACTAAGTGCAAAAAGAAAGAAGTTTAGTGCATCTAAATGCTCTGCCTTAGTTTGAATTATTATGCACTTTGTCAGCACGCAGTAATGCTCGCTTGTCTCCATTTCTGATGTGACTGACTGTAGCAGGATCTTCTTCTTTTACAAAGCTTCTAAATAAGGAGGAAAAATGAATGGATGCAGTCTGTAAAGGGGAGTACATGTAAATTACAGTCACAGAAATATCCTAACAGCTGCCAGTGTCGCTGCAGTTCACTAAAACACTGCTCTAAAACCACAGCAGCCCCCATGTTTGAACTCCCAGAGCCCCACTTTACCTTTTCC